TATTTATTTTTAATTTGTTTAATTCTTATAATTAAAATTCATATACTATATCTACGACTTGTTTTTTCTATTTAGGACCTCACGAGACTTGTTCTGGCGCAATTCAAAGAGAGATTTATTTGTAAGATCCAGAAAGAACGATGATTACCTTAAGATCTGTTAGTAAGTATTTAATCTTTTTGGTTGTTATTCATGCCATTAGATAACTCATATATGTTATTATTGAATAAAAGGTACAAGGACGGGTGGTATGGGAAAAGAAGCAGATGGGTTTTTTATACCAAGGGGCAAACCTAATGTAAATTCAAATGGACGTGAAGGTCCAGATTCTGTATGTAGAGTTTTAAATATTTCTATCGTTATAATTAATCAAGTTCCTAATACTGGTGATTATACGTCATTAGCATAAACCGTGGCCCAATCTTGCGATAGAAGTCGCCTTCTAGAAAACTAAAGCCCATTTATTAGATGCAGTAAAAAACTATTGGCTCCATCAGGGTAGACCTACGATCTGATACAATTATTTCAAGAATAAAAGTAAGTAATAACAGTCAAACCTCTCTATAGTCACACTTTTGGGATTCAAAAAACTGTTATTATAAAAGAGATGTAACTAATATAGAGGTATTTTTTATATAATTATAAATAATTAGTAAAAATAAATTTGTAAATTAATTAATTTTGTGATTATAGAGGAGGTGACTATAGAGGGGGTTGACTGTAATAGAAAAATATAAATTTTGATTTAGTTTCCGTCATTTTACGATTTTTATTTTTTATAGGTGTGGCATTTTTGTACAGACGATAGAACATTAGGAGAATTAATGCCCGTTACAGTATGTTACATTATTAATATAAAAGTTTGGTTGACAGAAAATAATTTTAATATACTTTATATTTAAAGGAATTTGAATTCGATACCATTGACGATGAAATTCTCAACAATTTACTATTAATATTAATACAGAATGCCTTTTTCATGGAATGCCATCTGATTTTCGTATACCTGCATCAATACCTAATCCTCTTATTATAGATTTTTATTATGTCTTAAGTAATATGGTAGAAGAGCTTGATATTTTATAAAGATCGTCTTTTTTTATTTTCAAACACAATTCTTTGAGTTGTAAGCTAGCCTTTTAATAAATTAGCGCCACCTGAAGATATGTTTATTTTCTAAGAATTTAACTTTTCTGAGACTCATCAATAAAGCTTGTCCTGGTGGCTAATTTTAGTGCATACATAATCAGTTTACTTTGGCATGTGTATTTCGTGAATTTATTTTATTGAATTGATATTGATGTCTATTAACTTGCACGTAGTGCTCCTAGATCCGGTCAGAATACTAGTTAAAATCACTATTATATATCCAAGAATATTTGATCCAAAACTTTTTATCACGTCGCAGACGTAATTTTGTATTTAATAAAAAATTAATAGTAATTCATGCATTTTTGTGAAATAAAAAACCAAAATTCAAGAGACATTATTTCATTAATAAAATTAATTCTATTAAATATAAATTAAAATCAAAAATTTTCTCTTTCCGCAAAATAAATTCCTTCTTGAGCGATCCACTCAGTATTCTTGTCACCTGAGCCGGAAGCAGCAACTTCAATTTGTCCATGAATAGGATTATTATAAATCATTTCTGAATTTGCTGATAGGTAAGAGGAAGTTTCAACATGTATTAATCTAATTTTCTGCTCTCGCAACCAATATGATGAAGATGTGTTTATGCAAACTAATTTCCAGTTATCTCCTAAATAGAAAAAACAAGTCGTAGATATAGTATATGAATTTTAATTATAAGAATTAAACAAATTAAAAATAAATA